GCAACTTTTACCCAAAATCAGGCAAAGCAGGCAGGCAGATTGAGTTGTTCACAGAATCATTCAGTGATCTATCTGCCATTGGCTAGCTCAGTCTCTCAAATTTGCTTGCTGTGAGTCTGCACTGAATTTGCTTGCAAGCAAACCTTCAGTCCGAAGGGAGGTTCGGCTGTATTTAAAAGCAGAGCCGAAGATCTAAAGACTAGCTAGAAAGCAAGAAATCCAACCGTTTTCTGCTTCCTAGTTAATCTAAATCTCCTGGCACAGCAGAACAGATGATGGTCGGAAAAAGGAAAAATAGAAATTCAGCATGCAAGTTTGTGAGTGGGCGGGAAGGGTTCCCACAGGCCATGTGGGTGGCGCAGCCTTGTGTTTCCACACAGCCTGGATTAATTGCTTTGGGGGTGGTGGTCTGGGAGTGAGATTTCTCTCTGGCCCACCAAAATTTTCTCATGGTCCACCAGTGGGCTGTGGCCCACCAGTTGGTGACTGCTATTCTAGTCTGTCAAGATCCATCTCGATCTTGAGCCTATCTTCTTGGGTATTAGCTATTCCTGCCAGCTTAGTATCATCTGCAAATTTTGCTAAGTTCCCCTTCTATTCCCTCATCTAAGTCGTTAATGAAGATATTGAAGAGTACTGGGCCTAAGATGGAACCTTGTGGCACCCCACTGCTTACTTCCCACCATGTAGACTTAGACCCATTAAGGACTACTCGTTGAGTACGGTTTGCCAGCCAGTTGCGAGTACATCTAGTGGTGGTGCTATCTATTCCACTTTTTTCTAGCTTACTAAGAAGTAGGTTGGGGTCTACTTTGTCGAAAGCCTTGCTGAAATCTAAATATATTATGTCCACATTATTTTGCTGGTCTACTAATTTAGTCACTGTGTTGAAGAATGAAATAAAATTGGTTTGGCATGATCTGTTTTTAACAAACCCCTACTGACTGCTAGTTATTACTTTACTTGTTTCTAGATGTTGGCAGATCTGTAAATCATCTTTTCCAGTATCTTCCCGGGTATTGATGTTAGGCTGATTGGTCTATAGTTTCCGGGGTCTTTAAAATTATTACATTAATGCCATTCTCTGCCCTGTAATATGTAAAAGAAGGGCAGATCATTATCTTTTGTCCTTGTCTTTTAATTTAAGAAACCCTAGTACAGGGGTCTACACCCTTAAACGCTCAAAAGACCCATTTAGACCCATTTCCCACAGAAAAGAAAACACAGGGAGCCACAAAACCTGAGCAGGCGGGTCAACTTGACATCACTCATTCCCACACACTCATATGACCCTCCCAGCCATGCCTACCCAGGTTTTGTGGCTCCTGGTTTTTACTTTTAAATGGGTATCTGTGTGTGTGTGTGTGTGTGTGTGTGTGTCTCATTTCTTACCCTCTCTTTCTCATCTTTCTCCCTCTCATCTCTTTTTCTTTCTCCCCCCCCCTCATATGTCTCTCATCTCTCTCTCTCTCTCTCTCTCTCTCTTATGTGTTCCCTCTTGAACCATTTCCAAAAACAGGCGAGGGTTGGGTTTTTCCCCTCCTCTGATCGTTCTTCTTCTTTGGGTGTTTTTTACCATATGATTTAAATCAAGAGTAATTTCAGGTTCCCAGATAACTGAAGCTCTTTCGTCCCACTCCTGTGGCTCCCTGTCTGATGATCTTACCATTGGCTCCTCTCCTCACCCTCCCCTCTCATTCTTCACCAGTTCTGAGAAGGGAAGGGCAACGGCAGATGGAGACTTACTCCGTATTCCAGAGCAGGGGCAAAGCACCCCTCTACTTGCCTCTTCTACTGGCCCTTCTTGATACTGCGCGCACCGAGGAGACCTGCGATTTTCTGCCCTAAGACACTGGCTGGGCCGGCTGCAGCTGATGCTCCGCATCATAATGAGTTCCAGCAGGAGGAGGAGGGGATGCAGTCTCCCCCATTGTGAAGCACGCTAAATTTAAATGTGCTGCATAAGGCACTGCAAGAGCAGTGAGCAGCCATGGAGGCGGCGAGAGGAATATGGGAAGATGCATGACTTTCTCTCTGCCCCGAGACATTGGCTGGGCCAGCTGCGCCTGATGCCGCTGCTTTTGCCATCTCTATTGCTACTCGCTACTACTTGCAGTGCCTTGTGCAGCACACTTAAACTTAGCACACTTCACAATGGGGGAGACGGCATCCCCTCCTCCCCCCTCTGGAGCCCATTATGACACGGAGCATCAGTTGCAGCCGGCCCAACCAGTGTCTCGGGACAGAAAAAGGTCACACGTTTCCCCTAGCAGTAGAGGTGCCGAGGTGCACACAGCACCAACAAGGCCAGAAAAAGAGGCAAGTAGAGGGGCACTTCGCTCCCGCTCTGGAATATGGAGCGAGTCTCCATCTGCTGTCTCTCTTCTCAGAGACGGCAAAGAGTGGGAGGGTGAGCAGCGGGGCTAGCCAGTTGTGGGATCATCCAACAGGGAGCCGCAGGAGAGGGCCCAAAGAGCCAAAGGAAGCTCTAGAGCCGCATGTTGCCAACCACCACCCTAGTATTTCTCTGTTCTCACAGCTTAACCTGCTCAGTGTCAGCTTTGGAATCCTTATTCATCGCTGCCACATAGCTTGAGAAAGTGGGAGGGGGTGATTTTAATTGAGTAGCTCTTAGTAGACAAAATAAATTCTTTTGTTAGTTCAAGGTAAAAGAGTATGGTGCAGGAAGAAACAGAACTTACTTTGGGATTGGTTCATGTGATGTGATGATGAGTAAAAAGGGGATGGTTTATAGGTTGGGACATTATGGGAAGTCCAGGAAATTTTTAGTTTTTAAATTCCGTAGATGTGCCAGGTGCTATTCTAATAAAAGTACTTTTGAGATTATGCTTGTATCAGAGTTACTGTTCGGAATGGAGGTTACCTGGAACACTGACACTCAGCTTCTTTCATCTATATTAATATAGGATTCAGATCAGTGGTGGTATTCAGCCAGTTCGGATCAGTTCAGGCGAACTGGTAGTGAGAGTTAGATATGTACGTATATTGTAATATAAGCTGCCCAGTCGCCGCTTGCTCGCTTGCACTGCCCGCCCAATGCTGTCCCCGCCCAGTCACTCCTCCCCACCTATGCGACACGCTGGCTCCTCGTGGCTTGCCTTTCTAACCTGCCTTCCCAAATGGTACCTGTGTCCCAACTGAGCAGCACTGATCTGCCTGTTCACAGGTAAGCCTGTGAGTCGCACTAGCCCCTGTGCCACCAACCTCGGACCTTGCCGGGCCTCCCCCACTGTCCTGGACACTGTCCCTGGAGAGTTCCCCTCTCTGTCCCCGAACCTTGACAGGCCTCCCCCATCGTCCCCTTACCTTGCCAGCCCCTCTACCGGCCCCAGACCTTTCCTGGCCTCCCCTACTGTCTTTGGATCTTCCTGCTCCTCACCACCATCCCCGGAGCTTGCTGAGGGGTCCCCTACTGTCCCCAGGCTCGGCTGACTGGCTTCCCCACCAGCATGGCCCCATCCCACTGGCGGCGCTGGTTGGAACCTAGCTAGCTGCCCCCACCACCATCTCCGGGCTCGGCTGGCTGGCTAAACTACCACAGTCCTCTCCCAGCTCTCCCTACCATGTGGTGGCTGTGGTGCTCCGACCGGGCGGGCGGGGGCCTTCCTGCCTCCTGTAGCAGCACTGTTACTGCAGCACCTCCACTGTCTCCGCTGCCGCCTGCTTCCTTTAGTTTTGTCCCCTGGGAGAAGCGAGTGGTGGTGGAGGTGCTTTGAGTGGGCGGGTGGGTGGATGTCCCAGGGCTGCTCGCTTTCTTCATTCTCCCACTGCCCTCTGCTCTGGAGCTTGCCAGATCAGTTTGTCCCAGACCAGGTATGTATGAGAGAGAGAGAGAGAGAGAGAGAGAGAGAGAGAGAGAGAGAGAGAGA